GATTGCTCTGTCTCCATGTGTCAGTCGGATTCAGTGTCTGTTTTAGCTAATCCGCAGCCTTCTCGCAAACGATCCTGAAAGACACCAGAGACTGGTCCTTCTGATGCTGACCTCCCACAATCTCCAATGTCAATGGAGTTGCTGGCATCACATGATTTGTTGACTCAATACTGCCATCCTAAATGAATGTATGAGCCACCAACATGCTATGAACCCCCTCCCAAGTGATACCGAAATCGCTCATACCGTTACTAGTGCCCTGATACTGGTCTCTATATTGAACCGAAGCGCCCTTGGTACTCACACTACTACCATTCTGATTCCTTAGACTCACAGTCCCCTCTTTGGTACCATCCACAAACACAGGAGTATGACCAGTCCTCGTCTGCGGATTCTCCTCTGGTACCAAAGCCACAAAAGTCATCCCGTACGAGGAAGCATACTTCTGAATGTCCTCCAGCACTACCACCTATGGTAACAAAACACTCTTGACCAGCGGCTTCGACTTCAGTACCAACTGCTCCACCTGCCACACTTTTGCATATTCGTGCCTCTTCTCTTCAGGTGACTATAACTGATACTGGTCCTCCACCCGCGCCTCTAGATGCAAATTAAACTCATCAACTTAAACACTCTAAACCTCATCATGGTACCACTCACTCTATACCATCTAAACAGGATAGCGATAAAATGAAAGGCTACCCACATGATACTCCACCGGATGTCTTGATCTCTCCATATCGACCTCCCTCTCTGACATGATCCGATTCTGACACTTCGGACTCCCTGCCACCACAGATGTCCCCTCCTAACTTACCAACACCTGACTCTGATGTGGCTGATACCAACCCTCCATCCCCATCAGAAGACTTTTCCTCCTGCTCTCAGCTGGTGCTCCACATAGCTAAGGCTATTGACCTTGACCTACAACAACTGGTCCAATCCGAATCAGACAAGGTCTATGAAGACATTAATGAAGACCAAACTCCTCCACTTCGTATGGGATTCATCCCATCTCTTCTAAAATTGATATCATGGTCCAAACCATCTTCCATATCACAAATCTCCAGAAGAGTGGGAAATTTATACAAAACACACGAAGTAATAATACAGCATTCCTCGCCAAACATCCAACCTCCAAATTCGGTGATAGTAGATGCCACTCAAAACAGAGAGTGAAACCGGTCTAATGCAACACCTAACAACAAGGAAGGCAGGAAGCTCGATATTATTGGCTGCAGGGTTTACTCCCTCACTTCCTTCACTCTCCGTGCAGCAAATTATTTGGCAGCCATGTGTGCTTACCATTGGTTCTTATGGAATAAAGCCCTTCCATCACTTCAGTCTGCACCTGCTGAATGCAAATCACATGGCCTTGCTTTTCATCAAGAGGCTATGGCTCTAGCACACCAAGAGCATATCACCACATAGCATGTTATTGAGGCTGCATCAAAACACATGACTACAGCTGTCACCCTCTGAAGACATGCTTGGCTTCGTTCAGCCCATATTTCCGATGATTCCCACATACGCATCGAAGACCTACCCTTTGATGGCATTGGCCTCTTTGATAATAAAACTGATGAGATTTTGGACAACTTCCAAAAAATGAGAAAAACAGCACACTCATATAATACACAACCATACTACAGACCCCTAACGATATCAACCTGTGGTGGCCCAGACAACCCTGGTTCACCATGCTCCGCTCAGTCTCCAGGGACTTTATCCACCTTCCCCCCCATATCTCACCTGCTCACCCAGCACCACGGCCAGACTTTTCACCCCGACCTTCCCGCTCTCCACCTCACAGCATGGATACACAACCATACCACAGACTCCTAACGATATCAACCCGTGGTGGCCCAGACAACCCTGGTTCACCGTGCTCCACTCAGTCTCCAGGGACTTCATCCACCTTCCCCCCATATCTCACCTGCTCACCCAGCACCACGGCCAGACTTTTCACCCCGACCTTCCCGCTCTCCACCTCACAGCATGGAGAATTCACCTTTTGTAGCTACCATTCTAGCTAATGCTAGAAAGCCCACTACCATGCAGCTTTATACCTACAAATGGGCCACCTTTCAGAAGTTTGCAGCTCAGCACAAACTCCCAACAATTCCAACAACTCTTCAGGTACTTCTACAATTCCTGTCTTACCTTTTTAGTCAACATCTCTCCTTGTCTGCTCTCAAGGTTTATATATCCGCCATTGTAGCCCATCAGCCAAAGGACTCTGATGCTGCCATGCTCTTCCGTCACCCAACATCAGAGGGGTCTCTAACATGCAACTTTCCAGACCATCTCTTCCACTGAAATGCTCACTACATACTGTCCTCCGACATCTCATACTTCCTCCCTTCAAACCCCTAGCCACCGCGTCGGAATGTCTTCTTTTCTTTAAGACCCTTTTCCTAGTTGCTATCACCTCAGCCCGCAGAGCCGGCTTTTTGTTTCCCCTCATTTACCACACAGGGGAACTCATATTTCTTCTTCTCGATGGATTGTTGCCACTATACGTCTTAATTACCCAAAAGCCTCTGCCCGCTGTCATTAAGCCACATTCTACCAAGGCTGTAGCTGCCTCCACATCTTTCCTGAGAGATGTCCCTGTTCCTGATATCTGCAGGGCAGCCACCTGGTCAACACCATTGACCTTTGCCTATCATTACCATCTGGATGACAGAGCAAAGACTGATGCAGCCTTCAGACAAGCGGTTCTGTCATCTATTCTTCTGTGACGTCCCACCTCCGGATAGGTAGGCTTGTTAATTACCCTATAGTGTGCATTCACAGAGACCATGAAGAAGAAAGAGCGGTTACTTACCAGTGGTCATCTGTGAATTCACATATCCCACCTTTCCTCCCCTCTGTCAAGTCTGTTTCTTTTGATACAGTGGCGGGCTGTTCGGAAACTGAGGCAATTGCAGGACAGGCGGACCACGTGTACTGGGGGGTGGTCCTGGCAAATGCCTCATAAAGCTCTAGAATATTCCGGAAACCTCGGGTGTGTACTGGGGGGTGGTCCTGGCAAACGCCCCATAAAGCTCTAGAATATTCCGGAAACCTCTGTGCAAGGGCAGATTAAACCCTATAGTGTGAATTCACAGATGACCACTCGAAGAAACAAAGTTACAAGTAAGTAGCCTCTCTTTCTTCTGGGACATTGCAACTACCTGGTTTGGACCACCAACAAAGCTGTAGATTAATCCTTCACTGTTCAAAGTCCACCTCAGCAGCTATCTCCCATGGGGCAGATGGACGATCCATTGCTCTTGGGGACACAAGCTTTTAAAGCCAGATCAACCAGGTCTGAAGCTCCTTCTCTTTTTTGGAGGGGTGAAACACATCTACCCTAACTGCCCTGGTGACTCCCTGCCTCACTAACTGAGCCAGTGTCCCAACAGGGCACTACTCTTGCCTCAAATTTCTCATCTGTAAGTGACACGTGGCACCATAAGGAAAGTGCGGTTTAGTTTAGCTTGATTTAAATGAAATGCTGGATATGCCGCAGCCCAGCCCTTACAGATTGATGCAACTACTGTCACAGCACTGCACCAGAGAGTGTGGCACAACCAAATTTAATGAAAAAGAGCATGACACATAATGTTAGTGTAACACTCTTTAGGTTTAATGGGGCTATTTGTTTATTTAAGTATCTATTGATGAAGCAGGGAACCGATCATCACAAAGCGAAAAAACCCTATTCAGACCATTGTTTTACGATCGCAAAAGAGATCGCAAAAACGTCATCGTAATGCGGTTTTGTCGCAATGCGGGGCAATCGTAAAGTGGGACAGGACTGTATTTGTTACATTGGTTACTTGAACAATTGATTTGCTCCCTCTTGTGGAATACATGAGATATAGCAAGTATATTTGAACACTGAGTTGCAAGAATGCCAAAATCCAACGGTTCAAACTCCTTGTTTCCAATAGTAGCCAGTCATGTCATTCAGAGAAACCCACAAAGGGTGTCCAATATTAATTCCTCTCAATATGAGATCCATCCATTAGTTTTTGCAAACACATGTTGGAGGCCTGTATTACTCAGGCTCTCCTATATCATTCCACTGCATATACAACACTTGGGAAATTACTCTTTTGGCCTAGAATTCCCAGAACTCCCCAGACAGAATTCTGGGATCTGTAGTCTGAAAATGTAACATTTCCAAGATGAGTTGTAACTGCACACATCCACTTACTTGTGATGTAAGTGGATGTGCGCAGTCTTCCTATGTGTAGACATGTGTACGGACCCTCAGAAGCCCAAGCAGGGTTGAACAAGGGGAATCCAAGTTGTTGTTCTCAGCATTTTTAGCTTCTCTAACTGATCAGCAAATTGGTGTGGGTGGGTGTTGCTGTTTGTCGATCAGCCTCCAGTAGGAGGAGCGCCATGAGATAACCCTGCTCTTCTGTCCCATAGCATCGGTTCATAGGACTCCCACACATGGCAAAGGGATCTAGGCATAGATGGAGAGCCTCCAAGTGTGTTGGACTATAATCATCCATAGACAGCAAGGGGAATAGTAGGGATGGTGTCGCTTGTCACTGTGTTTGAGGAAGATAGTTTCAGGGCATGGATCAGTAGGAGGAGCGCCATGAGGTAACCCTGCTCTTCTGTCCCATAGCATCTGTTCATAGGACTCCCACACATGGCAAAGGAATCTAGGCATAGATGGAGAGCCTCCAAGTGTGTTGAACTATAATCATCCACAGACAGCAAGGGGAAAAGTGACACTGGGTAGGGATGGTGTCGCTTGTCACTGTGTTTGAGAAAGATAGTTTCAGGGCATGGAAGACTCCATCCACTGAGGATAAGGGCAGGACTTGCTTATTATATATCCTGCTAGACAAGAAGGAAAACGTTGACCCTGCATATTTTTCAGTTTCCCCCAACACTTCTGGGGGGAAAATGGCCTTTCCCCCATAGCTCGTAAATTTCTGCAAATGTTACCTTCCTGCTCCTCACTGCTGCCCCTTCTCTCTTTCCCACAGGTAGTGAAGGTCTACAGTGAAGATGGTACCTGTCGTTCATTGGAAGTCACAGCAGGGACTACAGCCCGTCATGTCTGTGAAATGTTGGTCCAGAAGACCCATGCCTTGCACGATGACTGCTGGTCCTTGGTGGAGGTCTATCAGCACTTGGCTTTAGGTGAGGGAAGGTGAAACCAGCTTTGTAGGGGCTGGTGTGCACAGAAGGCAAGGCAGTGTGTGGGTGTGCTTGTGCATGTAATGGCTGGAATGCCTAATCACAAAGTCACCAAGATAATGTAACTTTCCTGATCTTAGACTCTATCCTTAATGATGGCCAAACAACCCGGGAAGAAGAATGCTTAAAGTGTTGTTACTCACTCCAACCCTAATAGGGCAGGTAGTTTGCTTCTCCTTCTCTATTCAGAAGGCAAGGCAGTGTGTGGGTGTGCATGTGCGTGTAATGGCTGGAATGCCTGATCACAGACTCACCAAGATAATGTAACTTTCCTGATCTTAGACTCTATCCTTAATGATGGCCAAACAACCCGGGAAGAAGAATGCTTAAAGTGTTGTTACTCACTCCAACCCTAATAGGGCAGGTAGTTTGCTTCTCCTTCTCTATTACAGTGGGGTCTTGACTTAAGAATGGCTCGAGTTAAGAACATTTTGACTTAAGAACCGCTCTCATAGGAAAATATTGACTTGACTTACATACTTAGATTTGAGTTAAGAACGGAAAAAAACCACATGGGAGGCAGGGAAAGTGCAAAATTGGAACTTTCAGTTAACTGTTGGCCAGTGAAAAGGGCGCCTGTCTGCTTCCTCACTCCTCCCAGCGTTTAGAGAGTGGATTGGGAGACAGTCTTCAGACTGCCTGGTACTGAACTGCCTGGACTGTATTTTCCCTGCCTTCCCTGAACCTTTCTTGACCTAAGAAAAAAAGAAACAAAATATCCCCCTCTAGTGGTCGAAGGCGGAATAGCAGCTTCCCATTAGTTTCTATGGACGGAAAAGAGCAGATACGGATCAAATAGTTTTCAATGCATTCCTATGGGAAATGCAGATTTGACCTGAGAACGTTTTGACTTGAGAACCGCCTTCCAATACGGATTAAGTTCTCAAGTCAAGACCCCACTGTATTTATTTTGCTTATGTGGTATGCAGCTAGGCTGGACCTGTCTCATACATTTAAACAAGCAATACCTTTCCATTGGACTATTTCAGTGATGTGGAGAGGGAGGATTTGCTGGTTGGGTAACAGCTATATTATTTTACCCAGGCTTCATGCCCTGGAGAGGACACTCCAGCCTCGCGTAAAGTGTCAAAACACAAGACACTGTTCCAAGTCCTCCATACAGAGCACGTTACGTAGTCTCTCGAGACTGAAGGATGCCTATGATGTACCTTGGTCAAGCCCGCCAAGCTCATTCTAGTCCCATATTCCATTTCTAAGACCCTAATTTTCAGTGAATTTCTAAGCCCCATGGCTGGCCTGTGCCTCTTCCAAAAGAGGGTTCACGACTCAATCTCCTCCTATAAAATAATTTCTTAGACTTTAGAAAACTTATGAATCCGGGCGAAGGCTAGGCTTCCCTTATATGTCAGTTTTGTAAATAAAAATCATTCTTTTGTATCTAATCCTACTTTCAATCTGAAATGCAGCCAGACACACTTACTGAGAGAATTCCACCAAAAACTGGCTGCCCATGTATCTCTTGGTCTTTTTGCAGTCAAGGTACAGTGGCCAAAGTCCCTCTCCACCATTACGTACTTGCCTCACACATCTGACAGCTATAGGTCCATTTATCAACCTGGACTTAAGCATGCGTACAATCCAGGAATATCCTTGGACTTGTTATTAATGAGCATGTGTAAAATCCATTGTTAGACCTCACCTGGGAATTCAAAGTACAACAGAAATGAGTTGCCTTATACAGTAAATCATTTCTCAATCGCTCTCTTCCTTTCTCTCTCTCTCTCCCCCACTCCATCCAGAGCGGTACCTAGAAGACCACGAATCTGTCGTAGAGGTTCAGGCCACGTGGCCTGTTGGGGGTGACAGCAGATTTGTCTTCCGGAAGAACTATGCCAAGTATGAGCTGTTCAAGAGCTCACCAGTAAGTAGAATAAACAATTAAGCCAGGAAGGAAGGCATCCCCTCTCCAAGTTTAACATGGTGGCTTCCTGATGCTCTCATTTAAAACAAGCTCTAAATTGCATTTCTTTCAGCATTTCTTAGTTTCATATGAGACGAAACAGCAATCTGTAATATTTCTTTGCATTCATTCCTTGTCATTGGCTGTGCAGGCTGAAACTGTTGGAATGTTCGATCCAATGACACCTGAAGGATGGTACTTTGTCCCCACCTCTGAGTAAAAGTTCTGCGTTCGAATTTGCTACATTAAGAGCTAGAGTCAGTTCTAGCAAAACCTCTTGGTTTTATATCTGTTGCTCAACTTATCACTCAGGAGATCATTACAGGATTGTAAATGTATGACAAGGGTTTTATTGGATGTTTTACCAACATCTGCTACATTGAGAGCTAGAGTCAGTTCTGGCAAAGCCTCTTGGTTTTATATCTGTTGCTGGACTTATCATTACAGGATTGTAAATGTATGGCAAGGGTTTTATTGGATGTTTTACCAACATCTCTGCTTTTTGCCCCCACCAAGTTATGGGGTTCCTTCTCCTTTGGGAATCTGGTTTCGTTTCTTTATAAGATTTTTTGCCCCTTTAGTAACTTGGATGCAGTCTTACTATTAAGTTTTAATCTGTTTCTTATGAAATGTTTTAGAGTTATTGACACTTCAGGAAGGATAGGAATAACATTTAAAAGAAGGTAAAAAGAGAGAGAAAAGAATCTCAATTAAAAACATTGTGCATTTGGGCCGACTTTCCTCCTGCTAGTATGAAGACTAGAAAAAAAACAACACCAAATATCAAGGGTCCATGTAGCACTTGCCATTTGTTTGTATTGTGTTAAGATTGTCGTAAGGAAAAATGCCATATAGGAGAAAATAATATACGACTGTTCAGGAACAATTGTTCGTCTTAGTTAGGTCTGCAATGTTCATCCTTCTCCTTTCTCCTCCATTACAGCAATCACTTTTCCCTGAAGTCATGGTCTCCAGCTGTCAGGATGCTGCCAACAAGGGGATGTCCCACTCAGAACTCATACAGGTATTCAATCCCTTCCCTTCCTCTCCCCTTTCAAACTTACTTTGATCCCCACGTCTTCATTCAGCCTTGAGTAGGTGTTCTTGGACTGCCACTCCCAGAAGCCTTCACCACCAGCTGTGCTGGCTAGGGTTTCTGGGAGTTGCAGTCCAAGAACACCTGGGTTACCCAAGGTTGATCCAGAAGATTAAAATGCAGTGCTTGGATAGCTATTGCGTGCTGTGGAGTACAAGCCAGAGGGGGACTCTGTACTAAGTAAGGGGTAACCAAGCAATCTGATTATATGACCTTGGATTTCTGTTTGCCTGTTTGTTGTCCATAAGATGCCCAGGGATTCCACAAACAGTCAATAAAAGTTTGTAGTCCTTTCTCATGGATTCCCCTAATAAAATCTCAGGGTTTTTTTAACTTTAAAAGTAGCAGTATAGGATGAATTTAGTAAATGTTGAACAGTATGGAGGTATTGTTTTCCTTTCTTCTTGTATAGTAGCTGATTACTAATTGCCATCCTGTTGAGAATGCATTTCTTAACACAGTGCATAATTAGCTTATAGTTGTCCTTATCACAAAACTTGGGTGATTGTACATTAGTTTCAATGGCTTTAAAAAGCACGCAGCGGATTCATGATGGGTAATATCAGAAATACTTGGATGACGTATTTTGGGAGGTTGCAATCTCTAGACCCACCTAGCTAACTGGGCCGCTGGCTGGAGTTTTGTTTTGTTTTAAGGTGCGAGGTGTGGGTTTGTTTTTTTGTGTTTTTTTTTTGCAAGTTACAATTCAGAAAAGTAAAATTTCCAAGCTCTACATGGGACAGGTTTAACAATATCTGTGTCAGCCGAATTAAACAGATCATTAAGCTCCCCCAATTGCCTCTCATGTCCCACTTCCCACAATTTTAAAGTATCAGCAGGGGTTCACTTCATAGCATTGTTTTTGCATGTAAAACTCCTCCTAATAGGCTCTTTGTCTCAAAGAGACGTGTGTTGGAGTGCAAACAGCAGAGATGTTGGTTATGATATTGATGATGAGAGTGGCATTATGGGAAAAGGTTTCCAAAACCCTTCCTTCTAGTCCAGTGGCTGTCATTTAAAAAGTTTTTTAAAAAAGAGGAGACACACTGACTGATTTATTGTACTACCACCTAGTTTGGCTTTCTGTCACAGTAATGAAATGGGAACCCTTTCCCATGATCAGGTGTGATGTGGAGGATGAAGTTTTCCATAATAGTGTCATCACTTCCATATTTCGGTTGCCAGAGAGAGACCTGACCTGATCCACCAGAGTAGTTCTTACTTCACTTTCCCATTTATATCCTTCATTTTCTTTGAGGGCTTTTGTATGACCATGACTTCAGGTTTGTCCTCACAACAAGCCTGCGAAGTGGAATAGCCTGAGTGATGCTTCATGACTGAATGGAGATTCAATCCCATGTTTCTCTGGTCCAGTTCTTTTTCTACTACACCACATTGACACATATATTCTTGCACAGCAGTCACTGACTTGATTCAATAGCCTCAGCGTGCCACTGCTTCTGGGTGTGTGATTTCTGATTCTGCTGTCTTTTGGTCTGCTGTTTACTTAAATTTCACAGGGACCTATGTGGTATGTGTTATACAAAACCTTTTCCTCTTGTTTCATGCAGCCAGCGTAGGAGGCCTTTTTGTTCACAGAAGCTCTGACCACAATCACCTAGTTAGTCTTTAAGGTGTTGCACGAGATTTTTGTATATCCCAGGCTGCGGTCCTGCAATTCTAAATAAAAAAACAAAACATTTTCACACCCAAAAGGAAAATCAAAGAAGATGAGAACCTGTCTATGTTAAGTGATAATGGAACTTCTAGTGCTATTTGTCATCTATTCTCATGTCTTTCTTTCTTTCTTTCTTTCTTTCTTTCTTTCTTTCTTTCTTTCTTTCTTTCTTTCTTTCTTTCTTTCTTTCTTTCTTTCTTTCTTTCTTTCGTTCTTTCTTTCTTTCGTTCTTTCTTTCTTTCGTTCTTTCTTTCGTTCTTTCTTTCTTGTTGTCTCTCTGTCTTCAGAATGTACTAAATTCAGGAAGCTGCCCTGAAATCCAGGGGTTCCTGCACTTGAAGGAAGTTGGGCGCAAAGTATGGAAAAGGTTTTATTTCTCTCTACGGCGCTCGGGACTCTATTATTCAACAAAAGGCACATCGAAAGTAAGTTTGTACATACTACGTGGATGTGGAGAGCTTGTTTTACAAGTCTGTGCTCCTTTTGAACACGGTTGTGGAAGCACTTTGCCACAGACCAGGCCATGTCCTGTCCCCTGTGAGAAAGAACCACAACGGCAGGACCTCCTTCTTGAGGACATGAGGCCTGGGATAAGGGGTGGTCCTTGGGTGAAGAACTTGGAAATAACAGCTTACAGATAGCTAGAACATCGTAATTAATTCATTATTCAATGCCAGATGGGAAAGGGTTTGAAATGTTGCTCTCTCTTTTTGGATTACAAGTTCCAGAGCCCACAAGGAAGCAGAACCAATCCTGGCCTTAATAAGGGATTGATCAGAACTAAGCAGAGCACTTAACCATCACTTCCTGGCCCTTGAAATTCTGCTTGTCAGTATGGCTGCCAAAGGCAAGAAACACTTTGTGGATGAGGACAAAAATGAAAATAGAAGAGAGGTTGTTGGGATGTTACCTTTTGCATGAGGCACTACATTCTGCCCTTAGTTTAGTGCAGTGGAACTGGACTGTAACTCCCAGTAGCCCTTCCCAGCACAGCTACTGGTGAAGGCTTCCAGGAATGTGTGGGGACCCAAAGTTGGAGACTACTGGTTTCACGTGATCTTTTGGAGCTTCAAAAAGTCATTTTTATGGACCACAAATTTGAGACATCCCCAGAGTTGTAGTCCAAAAAACTATTTTTTTCTGAGTTCTAATACAGAATGCCCTGGTTACCAAACTTTCCCACTAACTCAGACAATGGAAAGGCACCTCATGCTGTGGAGCAGCTTTCACATATTCTTCTCTTTTTCAGGACCCTCGACATCTACAGTATTGTGCAGATATAAATGAATCCAACGTCTACTACATCACTCAAGGCAAAAAACAGTACAGCACTCCCACAGAGTATGGCTTTTGTATCAAGGTAGGAGTAGCTTCATTTAAAATAGCTATAATTAAAGTAGACAGTCCAGAATCACAGACCAAACCTCATGGTTTTTGTTGTTGTGTAAGTTACGCCTCCAAAAGGATGATGATATCATTGGCAGGGGGTGATTTTCAGTAACTGAAGAGTTCCTCCTCCTGTCGCAGGGCTCCTGTGGATGAATGCAATAGTATGGATTAAATGCAAGTTGGGCAAGCTATGGGAAAGAAGGAGGAAATCTGTAATTACTGAAAATCTCACCTGCCAGTGACACCATGGCATAACTTGCGCAGGCATAACTTACACGACAGGATTTTGACCAAGAGGTTAAAAAAAAACCACAAAACAGAAAGCACTCTGATTTTAAATCAAGGCAACCAAATCTGTATGCATCTTATAGCTAAACTTTAAAAATGTTCTCTGAGTTTCTGATAATTGAAGCACCTTTTTCTGGGATAAAATTGGAGGCGTACGTCTCTTCTGGAATGAGCAAAAAACAATCCACACAGGATCCCTCTTCCACGTTTTGCATGTCAGACTTCTCAGCAAGCTCCCCAGCTAGAAAAAGACAAACCCAGCATTCTAATTTGCAGAGATACAATGGGCACCATCCTGTGAAGATGCATATCTGAACTGGGAATGGCTGGATTTTCCAGTGAAACCTGATGGAAAGAAAAAGGCAGCACTTCTGCTGATCTCCCTGTTATTTGCCTCAAACAGAAGCCACTTTGAAGGAAAATCTGAATAGTAAACCATGCAGAGATTTTTATCGGGTTAGAAAATGGGTTCTCTAAGTCAGGACTCAATCTTGGAACATACATTCTGATCATTATTATTATTATTTTTAAAAGCCTCTAAGTACATATCTTAGGGATAGGAAGAATAAGACTCTTCATATTTTGTTAGACTGCAACTCCTGTAATTCTTCATCATTGACTAGTTAACTAGGGCCGATGGGAAAACATTAGGTAGAATATCCTGATGGTAAGAGCTGTATGAGAGTGGAACATGCCAGTTTGTGGGTGTGATCCTTGCTTGAAGTCTTTAAACAGAGGTCAGATGGCGCTTCTGTCAAGGATAGTCTTTCTCTGGGTTTCCTGTGTCAGAAGAGGGTTGGGCTAGATCAATGGTCCCCAATCTTGGATTCCCAGATGTTCTTGGACTAAAACTCCCAGAAGCCTTCTTTAATTACTGTGCAGGCCAGGATTTCTGGGAATTATAGTCCAAGAACACATTGGGACACAAAGTTGGGGGCTACTGGGCTAGATCATTCTTTGAATCCCTTTCAACATAACCCCTCACTGATCCTGTAGGTTCCAACCCAAATCAGCCAGAGAGTCACACATTCAGTCAGAGTACCAGCAGTTTTCAGAGAGAGAAGAGAGTCAAGAGTCGCACATTAATCAGTCAGAGCACCAGCAGTTTTCAGAGAGAGAAGAGAGTCCTGCTCGGACAGTCCTTACATGTTTGCAACCTTGTTTCTTTGCTCCACAGCCCCAAAAGGCACGCAGTGGGACGAAAGGTCTGAAGCTTTTCTGCAGTGAGGATGAGCAGAGTCGCACTTGCTGGGTGGCTGCCTTCCGTCTCTTCAAGGTATGGGGCGTTCTGTTTAGCACCAGTGATAAGAATTCCCTCGCCATGCGAATGGTAGCTTCAGAGGAGTCATTTTCAGGCGGTTACATTTGTCTTCTGTTTGTGCCTCGATCCTGATAGTTGTGACCATACCCCATAGCAGTTTGCATTTTTTGAAGCATGCTATGCATTAAATTCCTGCCAACCTAGCAGTTCAGAAGCATGTGAAAATGCAAGTAGATAAATAGGTACCACCTCAGTGGGAAGGTAGCGGCTTTCCGTATCTAGTTGCACTGACCTCGTGACCACAGAAACTGTCTTCGAACAAACGCTGGCTCTACGGCTTGGCGACGGGGATCAGCACCGCCCCCTAGATTTGGACACGACTGGACTAAATGTCAAGGGGAACCTTTACCTTTACCTACGTATTAAATACAAAGATACATTTAATGTCCTTGTCCTCTCTGGCTTTCATGGCGATAGCTATACCAATCTTGACACTAATGGGTCTGACCACGTCAACAAATGGTATTCTGGCAACATACATGGATGAGATAGCTATACCAATCTTCACACTAAGCTAATGGGTCTGACCACGTCAGCAAATGGTATTCTGGCAACATACATGGATGTGTGAGGTTTCTCAGCGTTCTAAGAGATTTTTCCAATAGTAAGGCAAGTTTTCCAGAAAAACAGCTTGTCCACCAACATTCATTTGCAAAGTGCAGCTGCTAAAGTGTGTTAGGTAGGTTTATCAGAGATCCAAAATGTGACTTTTTCCGATGGCACCTCTCAGAATATCTTCAGACAGCCTGGGATTTGGGGAATTATAATCCATAAAGGATTTTCCAAGGTCTTCCATTCAGCATGCCCAGAACAACAATGAGGTTTGAAAGGCCCATGCTCCAAGCTGGCTTAGTATATACCATAAAGCTGGAATGGAAGAAGGTAAACTCAGATGTCCTAGTAGATTGCTTGGCAATTTGCAGTAGAACAACAAGGGTTTTTTAATTTTTAATGATAGAAATGAGGGTGCTTGGGATGGGAAAGCCAGAAATGGATTTTTGTGAGGAAGGACTATGAGCTGCCTTCAGGTCTAGTATGGCTAGAATTCTTTAACTGTGGCACCAAGGCTCTAGTGAAAAAAAGAGAGTTAAAAACAAGAAAAACAGCTCTGGTGGGCCCAAAGTCTGCCTGGACCTGCCTTGTCTGAGAATCTTCTGTAGCATCCAGGGATTTCCACAGTTCAGTGCCTGAAGTTACTCCAAAGAGAGGTTAGGAAGGGTTCCATAAGGCAGAAAGTTTAAAATTCAGTCCCTTCACAAGGTTTCTGAGGTGAAGGACTGTTGCCTCATGAGAGAGGTGGTTTACATTAGAAGTCAGACAAATTAATTCCATTTTATTTTCACTGTCAGAACTGGCCATGTTAGAATATCCTTCCGTCGGCCCTCGTGCTGCATTTCAGTTCTAGTTCTAATCCTCACATGCTTTCTGTAGGTGTGCACCTTTCCCCCTTCCCTTCCCCTCCCCACCTAGAAACAGGTGGTTTGACCTTTTCAAAAACCACTTTCAAAAATAACATCACAAGTCTGCGGCTGCTCCCTGCCCCGAAATTGATTGCTTTGGCAAACATTAGGGCCGCTGTCTGGAATGTTTGTCATGACAGGCTAGTACTGCTGATAGGCCTTCCTGCCACACAGACACTAATAACCACGATTCTTTCCCACAGTATGGCATACAGCTCTACAGGAACTACCAGCAGTGTCAGGCACGGCAAAGGGAACCAGCCTGGATTGGCACAGCACCCCTGGTAAGCTCCCGCTTAGAAGAATTTGGAGACTGAAATGTGCAGTTGGGTGGCAGCAGGCATAGCACGTGTAGAATAGTGGAGTGGCGAGAGCAATTTGGAAGGGCCTCCACCATGTTCTTTGCTGTTTTATCTCCTGGGTGAGCTGGTTGAAAGGACCCCATCCTGGAACAGTTCAGGCTGCATGAGAAAATACATGGATCATGTTGTTGTGGTGACACAAGAGATGCTATCCTAAGTATCACTTTTTTTTTAATTTCACCATTCAGTATTCAATGTTCTGTTGTAGACCTTTGGTCTAGATGGGTGCGGTATCTGTTGTGGTGACACAAGAGGTGCTATCCTAAGTATCTCTTTTTTATTTCACCATTCAGTATTCAATGTTCTGATGTAGACTTTTGGTCTAGATGGGTGGGGGTATAAATCTAATAAAATAAATGTAGAGGTCCATCGTGCAGATTGCAAAGCCAACTTTGTGGGGTGGGTGTTTTGCTCACAAAGTTTGAATCAGGGACAGGCAAAGGGTGGCCCTTCAGAAGTTACTGGGCTGTCATTCTCTGCAGCCCTCGCCAGCACAACCATTTGTAAGGGATTTCAGGAGGCTGCTCTTCAACAGCATCTGGAGGCTACCCTTTTGCCTACCCCTGGCTTATAAGTTATGCATGATTCTTCAACAAGAAGCCCCATGGTACAGTGGTTAAACTTTTCTACCCGAATCACCCGACACAGCCAGCTGGCCTGAGTTCAGTCTCAATCGATTCAGGTAGTTGACTCAAGGTTGACTCAGTCTTCCACCCCTTTGAGGTTGGTAAAATATGTACCCAGCTCTTTGGGGGCGGGGCAAAGTGTTGTTTGCATAATTATGGTATAAACTGTCCAGACACTGCTTTAGCACTCTGAGGCAGTATATAAATTGAAACAACAACAAACTTGCTCAAAACTGTGGGACTGTCTTCTGCCAGAAACTCATTTAAGAGGCCAGTTTAGGGTAATCTAGACCAGTGGTTCTTAACCTTTGTTACTCGGATGCTTTTGAACTGCAACTCCCAGAAACCCCAGTCAGGACAGCTGGTGGTGAAGGCTTCTGGGAGTTGCAGTCCAAAACTCCTAAGTAACCCAAGGTTAAGAACCAGTAGACATTGAACTCAAGAGGGCTCCTGCCTGCCTTATCGACCTTAGTTGGTCTTTAAGATCAACCAAGAGCTTTCAGACAGAGCATTACAACATGTCTCTGAATACTCTTGCATTGAAGCATTCACATCTGAACATGCAGGACCATTCCATTGGAAAAAGTCGTTTCAGTTGCGAGTTTAAACTCTGCAATTCAGGTATTACAAATTTAGTTTGAGCTGGAGATGTTATAGAGATTTTCCTAACTCTTTCCTGGGCAGTCAAGACTTTATTAAAGATAGACCTCTAAGAAACTTAATTTGGAATTGTGTGTTGTCATTAGGGACCAAATCACTTAACATTGGGGTGAATCCTTATTTTAAAATCCCATAGCGGAGTGTGTCAGATAACACCCTGGTGGCCATGGACTTCTCGGGTTGTACGGGCCGAGTGATTGAGAACCCCAATGAGGCTCTGACAGTGGCTTTGGAGGAAGCTCAAGCGTGGAGGGTGAGTCGGCTGCTTTCCTCTTGGCTAGTCATTGTGAAAAGCAGGGGAGTCCATGGGAGACAGGACTTGCTGCATCAGAATTGCATGGGTAAGTTCCTTGTGCCCTCAGCATTTGGAGCTATGCCTGGGATGGGGGGACCAGTCTTCATGAACTGCTGGCTATGGGACAAAGGTTCCTATGATGGTGGGAGTACCAGAAAGATATTGAGAATGGATAGAGCTAAGATGGGGGAACAGGGCAGTGAATTGTGCTAGTCTAAGATTTACTTCCAAATTTTTTTTAAAAAAATACTTCTTTTACCAGCAAGGATGATCAAGCTTCATCTTTTTTCCAATTTCACCTAGCGAAGGTTGAAACCTAGTTTTGTCTGCTAGAGTCACTTGTTCCTGAGGCAGCAAGCGCTTATAAGTCTTAGTTTGTAGCAGAGCCACTGCAAGGAGTTGACCAATTTCACCTAGTGAAGGTTGAAACCGAGTTTTGTCTGCTGGAGTCACTTGTTTCTGAGGCAGGGGGAGCTTATAAGTCTTGGTTTGTAGCAGAGCCACTGCAAGGAGTTGAGTATCAGAGGCCATCCTAAGGAAGAAGGAAAATGTTTATTAGGAAGTTCCTTCCTCCCTCCTTCCCTTCGCATCAGTTGCACAAGTTAAAATTATGGATGTATATGAAATATACAGTATGTTCAAACAAATTTAAAATGTGAAAATGATTAGACCATTTTTGATGAGAAGTGGGCTACTTCACTAGTGTATCTGGGCTATTTACTAGATCTTCTTTAGTACACGTGGTGAGGAATAAATTACATGTACATAAATCCTACATCGATTGAATTTCTCCAGAGTCACAGAAAATGTGTCCTGTATCAAAGTAGCCCCATTTTACTTGGTCTTCCTCCTTAAGAAGTTAGAAACCTGAGAAATACAGGTGTGTTGTTAAGAAAGTAACATCACTGAGGAGGAGGGTTGAATAGAAGTTGATTTGAGTGCAGTCTAAATAGTATCAGTCTATTGATGCAGAAACAACAAAAGGTAACCATACAAAGCACACAAGAAAGCCCTCACTAGTCACTTCTCTGTAGGTCATGTAGACATATTGCTGCTTATGGAGGCAGTATTGCACTCTTCTCGAGTTCCAGCAATGTGGACTTAGAAAATTATCCTATCATGGAGAAGGCTAAGCCAAAATATTTCCAATTGGCTTACTTATTTACTGTATCTGGGAAGTTTTTTTTTTTTTTTAAATGAAGGCATGTTCAGTTTTGCAAGTTCCACCCACAGTTTGAAAGGGTGCAGCAAAAATGATATTTAACACTCCAGGTAACAGTCAGGCCTGGGTGGAGCAAACATGACGTCTGTATCATACATGGTGGAAGTCTAATCCAAGCACTTTCAGCACTTTTTATGTCATCAATTAGGCTTTACAAACTATGGGAAGGACAAGAATTTTCATATTTTTTTTCCTGGATTTTATGGTAGTGGAGATTAGTATGCTTTCCCAGCAGTAACGCTGCAAATTTGTTTTGATTAGTTTTGAACACCTCGTTGGCTTCTCTAAGCACAAAGGCAACATCTGTGAACATATAGTAAAATTTCTATAAACACAAAAGTGTTTTGGTGACCACAATTAAATGCCTTTTTCACCAACGAAGCACGGCTTGAAATTTAAGTGTTGTATGATTTGTAACAAGGCAAATGGAGTTGTTGCCATGATAACTTACGTTTAGGCAAATGCATTCAGAGTAGTTCTGTGGCACTTTAAGGACGAATATAATTACTGGGACATCAGGCAGGCTCTTATAAATCAATCCACATCATCAGAAGTCAACTCTGGATCACAAAAACACAAGGAGTCACAATCCTATATTTGCTTTCCCTGAAGCTTGAAGCAAGACCTTCATGTAGGTCTTACTCACCACAGTGTAGCTTCATTCTTTAGGTTTCTGTAAATTCATTCTTTAGGTTTCTATAAATACATCGGTTGTGTTGTACCAAGCTAATCAAGGCACTCTTTAGAAGCTTGTAGTAAATATTACTGAATGTTACAGCAGTACTGTAAGGAGATTATATAATTAATGTAGCAAGCTTGGATTGTCTCAAAGAGTATCAAATGTTTTTCTTTTCTTGCCTCAGAAGAAGACAACTCATCGATACAGCCTGCCCACCCAGTTCCAGAGCTCCCCACTCAGTACTGGTATGTGTCCCTCAGAGATAGTTCATGTAATGTATAACCACATGTTCCCTCATTCAAAAGCTTGGCATAAGATCCAGTGGGTGTTGATAGCAGAGAGTAATCGGATGGATAAGGCAAAATTACCTCATGATTGATCTGTGACATTCTATTCCCCATACACACAGGCCAAGCTCTTTGGAAAATTTCTGAAGGCAGTGTTTGACTAACATTTGCCTCTAGCGCTCATCATGAATCTATACACTTAATAACCTTGTCATCATAACCTTAGAACTGCAGAGCTGGAAGGGATCCTCTAGATCATCAAGTCCAGCGTTTGTGAAGGAGGCATAATGGGTACCTTATTCCCATCTTCTGGCTCCGCAACAAGACACCTAAACCACTGAGCTATCCAGCACAATGGGATGTGGAAAGCACAATGAGAGTGACTGTCTTCTGCCACATACAGATTGATGGGTTTAATTTGAGCCACAGTTTAACCGTAGTGTCTGAATCCTGAGCCAGTGCTTGCAGTTGTGAAATCACTTTGGGAGCAATAGGGAGCCTCCAAGGATATGGAGGCTGCTTTTCTCTGTCTGCCTGAGTTGAATAATCCAGCTCAACACCGTGTTTCTAAGGCGAGGAAGCTATGTCTTCCAGAGCTTTGACATTTCACAGTAGAGAATAGAGGTGGGCAGAAACGGCTGGTGGTTTGTGCTGATTTTATGGACAGTTCTGCGCTTCCCAGCCCCGCCTCCTCTGCCGGGTGCCCACTCAGAGGTAGTGTCTGGAGGAGGTGGGACAGGGAAACCGAGGCACGTCCTTTGATTGGATGCCCACTGGAGGAGGTGGATGAACTGGCATAAACCGTTTGTCCAAAGGATGAACTGGCATATACTGCCAAATTGGTGGTTCATGCCCATCTCTAAGCTAATGATTGCAGTTGTAACAGTCCATTCTGAAAACATAGATTGTGGTTTGTTTCTCAAAGAGAATCCCCATTTTCCCTCTTCTCCCAGTTATCCACAGAACTCAGCCATGGTTCCATGGAGGAATTTCTAGAGAAGACACCCAGCGCCTTATAATCCAGCAAGGATTGGTGGATGGGTATGTTGTTGGCAATAACTTTCCAGTTCATCACGCAGGTAGTCCAGTCCTAGGCTTCTGTGCACCAGAAGGAAGTTAGTGCTTGAAGTGGGATCAAATTGAGAAGCAATGATATCTGGTTGATCAGAGTCCACTTTATCAGAAACCAGCTCTGGCTCCAGGCGTTGGGCTACAAAGGTGTTAATGGAGTAGGCTTGTGGATTACACATCTACTGCCTAGTTCTGGAGTACACACTATGCTATAGGCATAGAGGGGTGTACAGTCGTGCCCTGCTTCACGACGACCCCGTTAGACCGTACAATGGTGCCCTGCTTCACGATGACTCCATTAGACGACAAAATCACTTTACGATTAGTTTTTTGCGATCGCTATAGTGATCACAAAATGATGATTCAATGGTTTTTTTCGCTTTACGTTGAATCGATCACTGCTTTGGGAACCGATTGCTGATCGTCGGGTTTTCAAAATTGCCTCCTTCAGGAAATGTTTTCGCTTCACAATGATCAAAAACAGCTGATCGTCGGGTTTTGAAAATGGCCTCCCGCTGTTTTCCGGACCTATTTCCGGAAGACAGGAACCAAAAATGGCTTCCCCTATGGAGGATCTTCACTTTACAATGAGGTATTTCGCCCATTGGAACTCATTAACCAGTTTTTAATGCATTCCAATGGGTTTTTTTACTTTTGCTTGACGACATCGCTTAACAGCGATTTTAACGGAACGGATTATCATCTTCAAGAGGGGCACCACTGTACTGCTGACGTTGCCCTCTGCTTTATCCATTCCAGGGTGTTCCTGGTGCGGGACAGCCAGCGGAACCCCAAAGGCTTCGTCTTGTCACTTTGCCACCTTCAAAAAGTGAAGCACTATCTTATCCTTCCGGTAAGTAGTCATAAGAACACTGGAAGCTGTCTTTCAACCAAATCCTTCAAGCTTCAGTCCATCTGTGCTAGCTGGCACTGCCCTCCCAAGTCTTCTAGTAGGGGGGAACTCAGCTAACTTTGCTACTTAAGTTCCTTTTGGCTGGAGAGGCCAAGAATCAAATTTGGATGCTTCCACATGAAAAGAAAACACACACATGGCTTTTAAACCACTGAATAAGACATTCCCCATCAATGTGAGCATATATGGGTGCACTGATGATATTGCCTTCTGGTTTATCAATTCCAGGGTATTCCTGGTGCAGGACAGTCCATCTCCACTGACTCTTTCTCAGATTGCCTTTAACCCACTGATGGGGCCTGGAGAGTTAGGGGAAAGGAATCTGACATCCCATAGTGTTCCAGCGCCCATGCTTTTTTTTGGGGGGGGCACATCAACTGTGATGGAAATTACAAACTTGGATTAATTTGATCCATGACCAGGGCTTAGAAACACTACTACAACTTCCAAAATCTCCTAGATAACATTGTCAATGAGCATGCTGGCTGCGGGATTAAAGGAGTTGTAATTAGAAAAAAGTAACTTTTCTTTGCTGTGCCCATGCCGTAGCTCTTTTGTATGCTATGTTTTAATCCTTGTGAATATGTTAAATGTCTATAGGATGTACACTCGTCTATAGAGTACATTTCCATTATCATAGCCAATGTAAAAATACCTGAGTCTGAGGGGAAAAGATCTCAGATCAGCACGTGGTGTTCAGCAGGTGTAGATTTCAGAGCCAGTGTGGTGTGTAGTGGATAATGTGATGGGCCTAAGACTCTGGAAGCCTGACTCTGAATCCTCATTTGGCCATTAAAACTCACTGGGTGGAGGCAATGGCAAGACCACGCCTTAAATACCTCACACCCTTGGAAAACCTGATCAGGGTCACTATAAATTGGATGCGACTTGACAGCAAATAACGAAAAACAAACACTACAGAAGAAGAATGTTTATAATAAGCCACTTGTACAAGACAGACAGCATAGGGACAGTTGAATAACCACCAAATCAGAAATGCCTTGGCGAGGTGCACTGCCAGTGTTGAATGTCTGACATTGGACGCTTTTGATGGGTGGAGTTCGATGAGGCATATTTATCTGTAACTGATCCTAAACACTAGTTAAGGGATCCTGGTCTATAAGGGGACCACGCCACCCTGGTTTCTAAAGATTGATCCTTGGCACAACTTCAGCCCTCTCTTTTCTTTTTGGTACTTTACTCTTCCCATGCCAATGTCTCACCCTGTTTTGTGGCTTTCAGAGTGAGGAAGATGGCCGCCTCTACTACACCATGGATGACGGGCAGACTCGCTTTGCTGACCTGATCCAGTTGGTGGAGTTTCACCAAATCAACCGTGGCATCCTGCCTTGCAAGCTGAAGCACTATTGCACCTGCGTTGCCTTGTGATGGCCCGTCTTCCCAACAGGGAGATAGGGGAAAAGGCCTGTTTTGAACCTTGGGATTGGCACTGAACTTTCCGCTGCTCCTTGGATCAGCCACAACGATGGTTAAATGACTGAGGAAGGTTGTAACCCTCCCGTTCAAGCCACCTGTCGGGGAGTCTTGTCATTCTTAGGACAGTCACGGATGGCTTTGAGGTTGCAGTGATAAGATTTCTGTACAGAAGAAGACGCTCCTTGGCTGGTAGCTTTCTCCATCTCCAGCAAGAGCTTGCTTTGTCACCAGATTTATGAGATTTTGCTGTTCCTGTTGCCTTAACCTGCTGTGCTCAAATTAGAGTCCAGAGTCCCCAGATTCTGGGAATAGAGCTATAGCATTGTCCTTTTAAATTTTTAAATTTTATTTTTTTGATGCTGTTTCAGAGTCCCGATCCATTAGAGGCAAGTGTAGGACAAAAGCAAATCTTGGAAGTGATTCCTCTTGCAAATTGCTTTCACCTTTCTTCATCATGATTGCCTGTCTCCAGCACATGTTTCCTACAGGTGCTGTCGTCTTAACTAGACAAGGAACTCCTTGATTGTTCAGCCTTTTCTCTCCGCTGCCTGGCACACAGTTTATTAAAGTGGCAGGCCCCCTGTTGCAGTGTTGGGGAATATCAGGCAGGAGTCTCCAGCAGAGCTTAGGAAGGTAACCTTTTGAGACTATAATGCTCAAACGACAGGGATAGTGGTGGATATCTTAGCCCTGGGAACTTTTCACTATGCAGAAGCCCTGAGTGTGTCTACAGGAGGAAAAGCAGCATGGCACAGATCCGGACAAGGCCCTTGTTTCTAGCCCCAGTGGTGCTATTGCATCCAAACATCAAAGGAGGCAATGAATTAAGGTTAGGGAAGTTGGTTTCCTCTCCTTGCATGAAGGGGTTAAAAGTACCCCAGGGTTGGAAACAACCCTGTTTTTGTATAAATCTATGAGGCCAGTATATACTGTGATGACTTGTGTATATATAAATGATGGAAATAAATCTTATTTTTTTCATACCTTTGCTCTGGTTTTGTATACAGTACAAATAAATTATCAGAAAAGCAAAAGCAAACGGCGACTGTTTCAATTAATAGCAAGTATCACCTGTAAAGAATCAAAAGATTGTTTTCTCTTTATATTTAACTACGACATAACACTACTTATGCCTAAATAAAAGTCTATGTTTCGTAACTTTCATTGTATAAATTCCTCTCTTTAGGAGGGACTAGTAAACCACTTCGGAGTACTTGATCTCTAGAGAGCCCTGGGAAAGTCTTCATACATTGACTTGTCATATAATTATTAACACTTGTACCTGGAATAAGGTTAAAGCAACATCTGGCTTCCTCACAGTGGATGTACTTCACTGTTGCTAGCCTTTCAGTGCTGTTTTCTGGATCTTTCCAGATGCCCTCAAGGGCACTGCACAGCTTTTGCTGAATCTGTTGCAGAGTTTTGATTTTTTGTTTTTTTGTTTTTGTTAAATTCCTCTAACTGTGAAGCAGAAGTGCCGGGATTCACGAACCAGAATAGCTTCATGTTCCCTAGGTTAGTCCAACCCTTTTTATCATCAACTGGCACTTAAGATTTCAGGTCACTCTGAGTCACTTGTAGAAGAAAGAATTAAAACATTTTTATTACAGTTATGAACAGATCAAACAGGAAACTGATAAATATGACTGCATCCAACAACAGACTTCAAGAGACAAAAGAGAGGGAAAGCGATACACAGCAGAGAGGGCTCTGTTTGAATTCAGAGACAGGAGAGAATGATTGGTTAGTGCTGGATAGATTGACAGTCAATGCAGCCAGCCCAGAAAGGTCCCTCCCAGCAACACCTACTGGAGGCAGCATGCGAGGTTGCAAAGACTGTAACAGAATCACCCTGGTAATACCACATGAAAACAGTTTATGTCAGAATGGAATCACTTCTTAGTTATTCTTGAAAATTGGTGTGGCAATGATAGATGCAAAGCATGCTGGGTGATGCTCTGAAGAAAGTATCCTGGGAAATGTTTACTTTCCATTCGCCACAGACCTCACTTGCCAAGTCTCGTGGTTTTTTGTTTACACATCACGAGTGGCTGGGTCTGGAAGGGATTAGGTGGGATTTGTCGTGGAAATCCATTTGGGGCTTAGCAAGGGTCAGGAGATTAAAGCTTTGGATGGTGGCCAATTAGCTCTGAAGCTGGCCTTTTTTAAGATCCTTGAAGGCAGGCCCTTGGAGGAAGATGTGAGGGCAACGCTCACAGCTGCCAGAAGCCCCACGGCTTCCTCAGAAGATTTCTAGAAGTCCCTGCAGGTCACATTTCCCTTCTCAAGACAGGCCACCATGGTTTCCAAAACTGTCCTGATCACTGGGTGCTCCTCTGGGATTGGGCTGGCTTTAGCTGTGAAACTGGCACAAGACAAGCAGAGGAGGTTTAAAGGTGAGTCTTCAAAAATTGCCTTGGCCTAATTATCAGCTTTCTTTTCCCTCTCTCTCACCTGGCCTGATGACAATTTGTAGAGAAGACTTCAAATCTTCCATGTTCTTGGGGTATTTTAGACTGAATAAGCCTACTACTCAACAAAGCTGGATCATTTTTCTTAGAGTCGCATTTGGTGTTTTAAAAATATTAAATATTTAAAGAAATCCTTATTGTCTTTATCTGTAATATACACAATGAGGTTATCAGAAAGCAAATCTGTTCATTTGGGTTTTGAAGATGTTATGGAAGGAGAGTACGCTGAAAGCATGTTGGAACTGTTAGCAGAACTCTAGTGTCAAGCTTTTAAATTTATTTTGCAGGGTAATAAGATTTTACATTTGCTTCTGGCAATTTCTGGTTGTCATGGATCAAAACTGGTTGGTTGCTGATTTCTACTGGAGTTCCAGTTGTAATGTATATTTAGATTTCAGGTACACACTCAAAAAACGATCGATCAATCCTGATCCAAAATCATAGTGAGAAATACAGAAGATATGGTTTCTTTTGTGGCTTTCTGTATTGTTTACATGCAAATTTCAACCACATTCGTCCAGGGCACTGACATCTTGCAGTCTGATCCTTTTGCAAGCCTGGACTCTGATGTTTCATTACGGAAACAATGACCTGAGGTTTAGGTTGCTAATCCAAGGCCTTGTGCGTGATCTTAAGGCTTCTTGTCCCTTTTAACACATCATTGATAAGCAGCAGTTTTCACAGCAAGGGGGGAAACATGGCTTGTTCTACACCAGGCATTGGCAAAGTGCAAAAAAGCAGCTTCCACATCTATGTTTGGAACCCCTACTTTCACTTGCCTCTACTTTTTCTGGGAAAAAAAAAAAAGATAAATTGTTGTTCCTTGAAGGCTCCAGAATTGTAGTTCATCTTTCCAACAGGCTACAGCCTCCTCATGTATTTTTAATAAGAGAGCAAAATTTTAACCACATCTAGTTCCTTTTTTAATTATTATTTCGGGCAGTCTCGGTAGCCCCGGTATGGTCTCAGGGGAAGAACATTGGCCCCTGGACCTGCTAAAGTCCACCATTCCAGATCTACAATATATAGCCACAGCATCTTGATGCTGCTTTAACTTCCGTGACTTCATTCTACCAAATCCTGTTTTTTATAGTTTGGTGGAGGTCTCGGTGTTTCCTGCTAGAGATTGCTAGGACATGTCCCTAAATGACATCAGAAAATTCTAAGTACCTGCCCAAGCTACAAAGCCGAGGATCCTACAAGATGGAGCCAAGGCCGTTATAAAAAGGTATAAAGCTGTTTCAATAGTGTAGTGTAGATACACTTTTAATCACTCCCATCTGGGGGTCAGACAGGAACAGATGCAGGACAAGATGACCTTTAATTAGGGTGAGTGCTTAGTAATGCAAAACCAAACAAGGGACTACGTAAAGCAGGGTGTCGGCTTCAGGAGCGCAACTCTGTGAGGTTTTGGCCTTGAGTGACGAAGCTGCTGTGTTCCAGTAATTGCCACAATGAGGAATTTGGCCAAGAAGGAAAAGCTAGAAGCAGCAGCAGGGCCTGCTCTCAACAAAACGCTGGAGATCAAGCAGCTGGATGTCTGTGACGAGAAATCCATCCGTAACTGCATCAACAGCATCCCTCAAAGGCACATTGACATCTTAAGTAAGTATCTGACACCTTTGCTGCATTGGGCCTCTTCTGGGGTTGGACATGTGGAGCAGGGTCATGGAGTCTTGAAACCCCTTGGGTGGGTATGATGGCAGCAGCAGGCAAGAAGTAGGGAGGAAGGTGTTTGCCTGAGATTTGCCCAGATGCTGACCACCACTGTGATTCACATAACCTAATTCTCCCTCTGAGCCTTCCAACATCAATTCAAGCACATCATGTCTTTTATTGTTGGGAGAAAAGTCACAAAATACCTAAAGGGAGATGTTCTGGCTTCACATTGTACAGTGGTGCCTCGCTAGACGATGATAATTCATTCCACTGAAATTGCTGTTTAGCGAAATCATTGTCTAGCGAAAAGCATTTCCCCATTGGAATGCATTGAAACCTGTTTAATGCGTTCCAATGGGGAAGAATCATCGTTGTCTAGCGAAGATCGGCCATAGGAAAGCCGCTTTGCGAACCGCCAATCAGCTGTTTAAATCGCTCTTGCGAAGCTTAGGTCCCAAAAAAATCTGTTTTGCGAGCGCGGAGGGAGCTGTCAAAATTGTCATCTAGCGAAAACCAGTTTGCGAAGCAGGGACAGAACATTGTTCAGCAAAATTTCCCCATAGGAATCACTGTTTTGTGAATCACTATAGCGATCGCAAAAAGTCAATGTCTAGTGAAAAAACTGTCATGCGGGGTAACTGTCTAGCGAGGCACCACTGTATCTGTATTTACCCGAGGCAGTGAACTCTTCCAAGCCCTCACTGCAAGTTGCGTTCCACTGCACAAATATCCCTAGTCTGTTTTTTGTTGGGGAGGGGGCAAATTAGAGCTTATAGAAAGCACCTTCTCAGGATCTGATATCCATATGGGTTCAGTGTGTGAGTCTGAGAAAGCCTGTGTTTATCTCCCAGTGACCAATCACAAATTAAGACAAGCTAATTTGCAAATTAGGGGAACTCTGAGAATCTCCCAGACAGTTTTTGGCACTCGAGTGAAACCCTTCTAATGATGGGTCTGTGTGACATCTAGGTTGGAGATGCTTTTTGGTCCTTTTGGTTAAAGCTGTGTTTGCAAAGTGCAGTTACAACAGCTTAGGTATTTGGCTGAGGAGCCAGAGGTTGTGAGCTCAATTCCCCACTGTGCCTACTGCCTAGGGGCAACCCTAGAAGATGGGAATGGTAAACCATTTCTGAGGTAGCACAGCACCAGGGCAACCCTAGAATATGGGAATGGTAAACATTCTGAGTACCCTCTACCCTGAGAAGGGTTGCCATTAGTCAGAATTAACGTGATGGTATATGATGATGATGATTATCAATTGTTATGAATTGCACAGTGCTTTCTTCTTCATGCCTATCTATGTCTTTATGTGCATGTGGACTCTGGCCTGGATGCTAGAGAAACAACCCCCTCAGTTCCAAACTATATACTATCTTCACATCTGCAATTAGCAGATCTGTAACTTGACACACACACACCCACGCAAAGTTATAGCATATGCAGGGCAGAGTGAGGGCTGCAAACAGGGACTGCGATTTTTGCAAGTGGTGTTTTTTTCTACATTCACTGTTGGATTCTGATGATAGGGAACAGAATTTGGTCTGGTTCTCCCCAGGTTTTGGCTAAAAAGCTGGCTGTACTTGAATTCAACTTCTCCCTTTTATCCCATCGAAGATCATGATTTTAAAATATTTTCTCCTGGACAATGCTTAGGAAAGTTACCTTTTTGGACCTCCATGCTCAGAATTCCCCATCACGTTTGACCACTGGCTTTCAGTGGTTGCTGGATCTGGGCAGTTGTAGTTTAAAAAATAACTTCTGCCACTGTTGATCTCTGCAGAGCTTCTGCACCTTCACAGCTGCTTGACAAGCCGGTGAGCCACCTCCTTTCCCTAAAATCAATGGGTGACCGCAAAAGCTGGGTCTGTTGTGTTCCCTCTGTTATGTACACCATTCTTGGCAAAGTTGTGCATAATTCTTGGTGATTGATGTGCAACTCTGGCCTTCCTTCTTTTGAAGAGGTGGCAGTAGTGATACACTAGAGTAGTGTCTCTGATCAGCATAGAGCCACTCGCAGGATCATGCTCTGTAGTCTCGCTAGATTTATTGTCCCCGTTTTACAGATGGAGAGGGGAAATGGACGATGACTGAAGAGTGACCTTGCCTAAGGTCATTTAAGGAGCTCAGGATTGAAAAAAATGAAAAGTGATGGGAAATGCAAAACAACAACAAAAGTGCTTTTGAGATCATGGACTGGGATGCCCTGAGGGCTCCTGGATTAATCCAGATCGTTTCCTAGTAGCATTTTCATTCTTGTGCCTCTTGGGCCAAGATTGAAAAGAAAAACGAGAAACTATTTTGCTTCCCATATAGTTAGATCTGAGACTCTTATGTAGGTCAGTCATGGGTACCAGGGAGGGATGGCATAGTGTTGCTGGCTGATGGAGGTTTCCTTTCAAATTATAAAACAATAGGTTCCAGTGTGAAAATCTTGAAGGTACATCTTTGGCCTATTTTAGAGCATATATTTCCGCTTCTGCTGAGCCAATCTCAAATCTTCTGGATTGGATTAAGCCCTAAATAACCCAAGCAAACTAAAGGCCACTTAGGTCATTGATCGACTGTTATTACAAAAGGGAGAGGAGAAGAACCTATTCAACTGTGTTAACTGATTCTGTGGGGTTGAGCTTTGTGAATCCCATGAGCCGCCCGCTCTCTCACCCTCTGGCTCATCTGTTGGTTTTAGGAGTCTGTCCTGTCCACAGTGTTGAAGTGAGATCTGTTTGCTATTCTGGGCCAGCTCAGGACATGGAATGGGAGGCTACCCTCTCGACCTGTTACTCAGTCAGCAAAACAGCTTGAGCCACTTGATGTTGCACTTATCTAGCTGTCATCTTGCATAAGTTGTCTTCATTTTTCCCAGGCCAGAGTTTGGAAATATCCCCCCTTTTTTTGTACTACAGCTGCCAGAATCTCAGTGGCCATGTGGATGGGAGATTTCCGGGAACTGTAGTTTTAAAAAGTAACATTCCTGTGTTCTGAGCTGGAGAATTTTGGACCTTGGAAAGCTTTATTATTTAGCCAAAGGTTTGGACATCCATCTCTCCAAGGCAGACACAACCCAAAAAAGTTGTTTAAAGAACTGATGGGCATCAGAAATAGGGAACCTGTGATGCTGCCCCCCCCAGTGTTGTTAGACTTCAACTCCCTCCAACCCCAGTCATCATAGTGAGTGGTGAAAATGATGGAGAATGTAGTCCAGGAACAGCTGGGAGCTTCCGCATTGCTGGATAAGGCTTCTGATTGTTTGTTCCTACTGATGCTTCCTCTTACTCTGGAGATCCATAAAAATAACAGTCAGAACTCTTGGCTCCCTCTTGTAGTCAACAATGCTGGGGTTGGTCTCATTGGTCCCATCGAGTGCCAGACTATTGAGGAAATGAAGGCCATCATGGAGACCAACTTCTTTGGTGTGGTGCGGATGATCAAGGAGGTTCTCCCTGACATGAAGAAAAGAAGGAGTGGCCATATTGTTGTCATCAGCAGTGTCATGGGAGTACAAGGTAAGTTGTCTTCACTTTTTCAACTCAGTTTCATCCAGATAATACACTTCCTTGGATACTCCTAGATCCAAATCTATTAGGAGTCTTAAGAACTCATTTATTAGCAAGACCCATTAGGCACAATGAAAGTTACTTCTCAGTAAATATTCATAGGCTTGCACTGCATACATTAGTAACTGGACAGACAGTTCCCAGCACCCTACAGGAAATCAGGAGAGTTAAAAATATAGTCATTGTATGCTTTCTATGCTTTAAGTCCCATAACAAACAAACTACAATATTGAGCCAATCTCAAATCTTCTGGATTGGATTAAGCCCTAAATAACCCAAGCAAACTAAAGGCCACTTAGGTCATTGATCGACTGTTATTACAAAAGGGAGAGGAGAAGAACCTATTCAACTGTGTTAACTGATTCTGTGGGGTTGAGCTTTGTGAATCCCACGAGCCGCCCGCTCTCTCACTCTCTGGCTCATCTGTTGGTTTTAGGAGTCTGTCCTGTCCACAGTGTTGAAGTGAGATCTGTTTGCTATTCTGGGCCAGCTCAGGACATGGAATGGGAGGCTACCCTCTCGACCTGTTACTCAGTCAGCAAAACAGCTTGAGCCACTTGATGTTGCACTTATCTGGCTGTCATCTTGCATAAGTTGTCTTCATTTTTCCCAGGCCAGAGTTTGGAAATATCCCCCCTTTTTTTGTACTACAGCTGCCAGAATCTCAGTGGCCATGTGGATGGGAGATTTCCGGGAACTGTAGTTTTAAAAAGTAACATTCCTGTGTTCTGAGCTGGAGAATTTTGGACCTTGGAAAGCTTTATTATTTAGCCAAAGGTTTGGACATCCATCTCTCCAAGGCAGACACAACCCAAAAAAGTTGTTTAAAGAACTGATGGGCATCAGAAATAGGGAACCTGTGATGCTGCCCCCCCCAGTGTTGTTAGACTTCAACTCCCTCCAACCCCAGTCATCATAGTGAGTAGTGAAAATGATGGAGAATGTAGTCCAGGAACAGCCGGGAGCTTCTGCATTGCTGGATAAGGCTTCTGATTGTTTGTTCCTACTGATGCTTCCTCTTACTCTGGAGATCCATAAAAATAACAGTCAGAACTCTTGGCTCCCTCTTGTAGTCAACAATGCTGGGGTTGGTCTCATTGGTCCCATCGAGTGCCAGACTATTGAGGAAATGAAGGCCATCATGGAGACCAACTTCTTTGGTGTGGTGCGGATGATCAAGGAGGTTCTCCCTGACATGAAGAAAAGAAGGAGTGGCCATATTGTTGTCATCAGCAGTGTCATGGGAGTACAAGGTAAGTTGTCTTCACTTTTTCAACTCAGTTTCATCCAGATAATACACTTCCTTGGATACTCCTAGATCCAAATCTATTAGGAGTCTTAAGAACTCATTTATTAGCAAGACCCATTAGGCACAATGAAAGTTACTTCTCAGTAAATATTCATAGGCTTGCACTGCATACATTAGTAACTGGACAGACAGTTCCCAGCACCCTACAGGAAATCAGGAGAGTTAAAAATATAGTCATTGTATGCTTTCTATGCCTTAAGTCCCATAACAAACAAACTACAATATTCTAACCTTTTTGCAGTTTAAGATCAATTGCCCAGTAGGTGGCTATGTTATTCAGTTGCATTTCAAGAACATAGACAATCTTGTAACAGTTTAGACAGCTAGAGGTTAAATTCCTCTTGGGCACCTAGAAAATGGCATAACTGTTGGAGATAAATTGGCCCAAGTTAAGAAATCACCATAGACATTATCAGTTGCATGCTGAGTCAGTCACACAACTTGGTACACAGCAGATAATATTCAATCATAGAAGTGCAGAGCTGGGAGGGACCCTATGGATCATCTAGTCCAGCCCCTCTCAGGGAGGCACAGTGAGCAGTTGAACTCCCAAACTCTAAACCACCGAGCTATCCAGCAGTGTCAACAGTGATTTCTTAACTAAAGGCAATTTGTCTCCAAAAGTCATTCCATTTGTGTTACACCACTGTAAGTAGGCAAGAGGATTTGGATCAGTGTCTGCCTAAACCCAGCTGCCTTGCAGCCTCCTGTGGCTGAACTCTATTTGTTTATGATCACCTCATCACTACTATTCCATTTGCTTCCCTTGTGGTTATCTTCATTGTTGTCAAAATATGACTATAAGTTCCTTAGGGCAGAGGTTTGTCTTTTTCTGAATGTATGTATTTTTGCAAAGGATCAGTACATAGACAGCCATAATACAAGTAATTAATGGTGATTGTTACTATTATTTTGATTGCCTTCAGCATCAGTATATCCTGGATCAGCCCTGAACATACGGTCTCAGGGGTAAAACAGGTGTGACATTTATCGTGTAGCTCACTGGTTCTTAACCTTGGGTTACTCAGGAGTTTTGGACTGCAACTCCCAGAAGCCTTCACCACTAGCTATGCTGACTGGGGTTTCTGGGAGTTGCAGTTCAAAAGCATCCGAGTAACAAAGGTTAAGAACCACTGGTGTAGCTTGTCATTTTTTATGCAGTAAGTAGGTGAGGAAGTGAAGCTGAATTATATTAGGACTGTGGTGTGGGTGGAGGGATCTTTAACCCCTTTTGCCCCATCTTTGCCCCTGTTGAACTGCCCCCTTCTGCTTTGCTCTTGTTATTTGCCATGGAATAAAAGTTCCTATCTGTGCCTCTTCATTTTATGATCCCATTTCAGACAGCCCCCTTCGTCCCGCCCAGGCACCCTCACATCAGCTATTTATTTAAGAAAATGTGACAGGGCAAGACAGTTGATGTGAAAAATGCCACATCTAGTTTGATCCTTCTAATGCTATAATGGGGGACAGAGGGTTAAAGATCTCCTTCCCACAAGGATTGAGCTCCGCTCACACACTTTGCATTTGCTTCATAGGCAGAGCTAAACAGTTTAGATCCCATGTAGGATTTGAGCTTGGAATATTTTCCATATTTCTTTTCATTAGAATTTTTCAGAACTTGCCTCTGAGAGAGAGGAATCCGCACCATGTTGGGGGTTTCTTCTTTGTTGATGAAGAAAAGGATGCCATTGGATTAAAATCCAAAGTCGCAACGAAGCCGCCTAGAGTGGTCGAAATGACTGTCCAAAGTCGCAACGAAGAAGAAACCGCAAACATTTCCATTATATCATCTGTTTTACACTCCAAACCCATTTGCCCAGGATTTAACTTGATCTCTAGGAAGCTTATAAGGAAACAAACCTGTGCTTGAAAAACAAAATGTGTTCCCAGACACACTCTGTGCCTTGTAAATGTCACAGGTTGCAGTCACATGGTGATTGACCCTCGTTCTCTACTCTTTGGCACCTCTCTTCCAGGCATCGTGTTCAACGACATCTACACGGCTTCCAAGTTTGCCATCGAGGGCTTCTGCGAGAGCCTCGTCGTCCAAGCACTCAAGTTCAACATCTTGTGAGTTGCTTGATTGCCAAATACAGAAATGCTTTTAGAGCCAAAGTCTTAAAAAAGGGTTGCCGTGACCTTCACTTCTGGCAGGAAGTCACCTGTGGTCTTAAGAGCTGAGAGACAGGATAGAAATTCAAGCAGACAGTTGGGGGATTTGGGGAGCGGTAGTCCAAAAATGTAAACTTCAGTTTCTATGTGTTTGGCAGCCTCCTCTGAGTAAGGGAGGGGATCCAAAGAAGCAGTCAACCAAAAAAAAGGGGGGGCAGTTGGTATGATGGGTTCCTGGAAGAGCATTACCTGACAACCCTTTATATGTGCTTGTTTGATGTTTAGTGTCAGTTTGATAGAGCCAGGCCCGGTGGTGACTGAATTTGAGATGAAAGTGTACGAAGATGCAGAAAAAGCTGACTACTCCAAGACAGACCCTGAGACAGCTGAGATTTTCACCAACATCTACCTGAAGAATTCCAAGGCCATCTTCTCTAGCTTGGGTCAGACACCTGAGGATGTAGCTGAGGTAAAAATCTCTATTATTTTGGTTCTATGTGAGGAAAGATGACTTTTAAAAAGTGGACTATGTGTGCAACTACTTCACACACATGGTTGCAGTACCAATCCTGGAGGCTTCTACCCATGCAAAAATAGGAGGACTGCATTCCCTTAAGATGCCCTTCTGCCTGGAGGGGAGAAGCAAACAGCTGTTGATGGAAGCTGATGCTTGCACCTCAGTTTACCTTAGAACCTCTCTAATACAACTACCAAGAGAGCTTAGATTGCAAATTAGATGCAGTAAATAGCTTTGTGAAAGGAGCAGAAACATCTCCCATCCTTTAGATCAGTGGTTCCCAACCTTGGGTTCCCAGATGTTCTTGGACTACAACTCCCAGAAATCCTGGGTAACGCAGCTAGTGGTGAAGGCTTCTGGGAACTTCAGTCCAAACATTCCCTGATTGGGAGCCACTGCTTTAGATCCATGCTTCTCAACCTGTGGCCCACCAGATGTTGTGAACCTCAGCTCTCAGAAGCTCCAGCCAGCAATGGCCAGCAGTCAAGGATTCTGGAAGTTGAAGCCCAAGTTATGTGTAAAACCAGAGGTTGAGAACCAATGATTTTTAACACCGGCATCAATTGCTTCCTTTAAGGAAGAGGAATTTGTTGATTTAGCTGGGATTTAAAAAAGGTATTGCAGTGGGAACTAGAGAAACAAAAAGGCAGGCAACCCAGGAGAAGAGTGATAGAAAGATTAGTACAGTAATTGATCTGCGAAAGGAAGAGTTGAAATAGAAGGAGGGGGGTTGGAGAAAAGGACAGGGCAAGCAGGGAATGTGACATCAACCTAAATGTCACATAATGATGTTTATTAAGATTATTCTTTGCTACAGGCTTTTAAAATGGTTTAATAACAGTCGCAATGTGCACAGTATTACTGGGTACACTGGTTCAAATCTATATTTCATGAAAAAGGTGAAACTCAGCCATTGAACTCTGAGTGTGTTGCTGGCAACTGCAGTGTCCAGTGTCCCCAGATATGGGAAACCCACTGCATACTTTAGGGTTTGTGTGATGCCTGACATTTGAACCTGGCAACCACCTTCATCCTCACTTCCTCCCCAAAGCTTTGCAATGTCTCTGGGCAGTCTGATATAGTGGGCGGGGTGGGGTGGGGGGGACGGAAACAACCCCTGATGGCTGAATTTGCATCTTCTTGATTCTGCTTCTTTCTCCTACTAAAGCTGTCTTGAATTATTATATATCTACATTTAAACTCCAGTTTCCTCCCTGTTTTACAATACTCTGCTTCTGTGCAAAGCACGGTATTCACTTTCATGAACAAGTAATCCAGCCTAAGCCAGCTCCAAAGTCTTTTAAATTCTCTACCATTTTGCCACTGTGGTTTAAGCTTTAGGTCCTTGCACCCAGTCCCTCGCAAATGTAGCCAGGAGACGTGAGCGGATTTGCAAGCTCAGATGCCGTTAGGTGGTCTGCTGCATATCATGATCAGTAGAAATGAAATGAAAACTGATATGTTTTCTTGGGAAAACCAGAGCAGCTCCCAACCTCACTTGGCTCATACATTTCTTCTTCACAATAAAACCTCAGTTGGAGACCAAGTTGTTGCTGCGTGATCTGGCGCACAATTTAAACATACTGTTGTGTTGTTGCTAGGTGCCTTCGGGTTAGAACTGATTTATAGTAACCCTAATAGAGTTTTCAAGGTAAAGTAAATATTTGAAGAGTGGTTTTACCAGTTCTGCCTCCACCCCAATGAGTTTCCATAGAAGAGTTGGGGAACTGAACCCAGGTCTCCTAAGCCCTAGTCTATTACTCTGCCCATGACACCAGACTAGGTGCCCATACTGTAAGCATACCATAAACTACTACAAAGCCTGTCTCACAGACTGAGTGTTAATGCAGCATACATAGACAAGGGGACATTGGAGGCCCTTATAAATTTACAGTTAGAAACAGAGGCACATGTAGGAGTGAAAAGGCCTGTAAAGGCATACGTCTATTACAGAGGGCATTTCTGTTCAAAATTATTTTAAGGCTGGATTTGTTGGCAGAACAAATACTGGCTGATGGGAAGGTATCGGAGAGCAGGGCAACCGAAGGGACAGCACACGGCTTAAACTGACTTGTCAGAATTTTGATTATTGTTGTTGTCATTGTTTCCAAGTTCATTGAAGAAATAGTTCTTTAAGTGGGAAAAAAAGTTTATACATTTCTAATTGCTATGGAACAGGATCACCATATTTGCCAGAAAAAAGTGCTAACAAGTGCTAAATGTGGTTATTGTGGGTCTTTCGGGCTCTAAGTGTTAAATGTGTTTACCTGTTGTGGTTGTTAAGTTGTGCCCGACTTTTCGTGACCCCATGGACCAGAGCACGCTAGGCCCTCCTGTCTTACACTGCCTCCTGGGGTTTGGTCAAATTCATGTTGGTAGCTTCGATGACACTGTCCAACCATCTCATCCTCCGTCATCCCCTTCTCTTCTTGCCTTCACACTTTCCGAGCATCAGGGTCTTTTCCAAGGAGTCTTCTCTTCTCATGAGATGGCCAAAGTATTGGAGTCTCAGCTTCAGGATCTGTCCTTCCAGTGAGCACTCAGGGTTGATTTCCTTTAAAATGGATAGGTTTGTTCTCCTTGCAGTCCAGGGGACTCTCAAGAGCCTCCTCCAGCACCAAAAGCATCAATTCTTCGGCAGTCAGCCTTCTTTATGGTCCAGCTCTCACTTCCATACATCGCTACTGGAAAAACCATACCTTTGACTATGCAGACCTTTGTTGGCAAGATGATGTCTCTGATTTTTAAGATGCTATCTAGGTTTGTCATTGCTTTCCTCCCAAGAAGCAGGCATCTTTTAATTTTGGGGCTTCTGTCACCATCTGCATTGATCATGGAGCCCAAGAAAGTAAAATCTGTCCCTGCCTCCATATCTTCCCCTTCTATTTGCCAGGAGGGGAGGGGATCAGTGGCCATGATGTCGGTTTTTTTTGATGTTGAGCTTCACACCATTTTGGTGCTCTCCTCTTTCACCCACACTAAGAGGTTCTTTAATTCCTCCTCAGTTTCTGCTACCAGAGTGGTATCATCTGCATATATGAGGTTGTTGATATTTCTTCCGGCAATTTTAATTCCGGTTTGGGATTCCTCCAGTCCAGCCTTTCACATAATGTATTCTGCATATAAGTTAAATAAGCCAGGGGACAATATATTTGTTGT